GTACCGTATAAATCTCCCGGGTGTTTGTTGATTAGATTTAGATTATTTTCAAAACTGTAACATTATTTACTCTAAATAACCGCTAAATAAATGCCTCCAGAATCGGAAATATGAATGTAGTAATGGTCGTGTCCACATGTACACCGCTACAGGTAGGCTCAGTCCAGGCAGGTGTTACTTGTAATGTTTCTCAGTTTCCTTTTCGTTTTAGTGTTATTGTTCCTGATTTTTTTCTTTGTAGTCGGAAAGTACACGAATTGTCGTACTAGAAATAGATGTAGAAGGGGTTTGGGCTCGGGACTAACCTCATGATGCGGTACATTGCCCATACTAAGATATTTGAACTAGAAACGAATTCTAGTGAAAAAATGGACTGAAGGGTGAGTGAGTGTAAGACCATGAGAACATCTCGTGAGAAAACACCGCGAGATGGAAGGGTTAAGCATTATAAAGACATGAATACTGAGAAAAGTTGAAAAATATCGTGATTTTGTCTTGATTGCAGGATTCAGGAGGGAGGAGAGTACTGCAAATGCGGTGTACACCTGTTAGGATAATTTTTAGAGTGGAACATTGACCAGAAACCTGGCTGGAGTATTTGAAGAGTAAGCATGAATTTCAGTATACAAAGGAGATAACAAGTTTTCTTCCAGAGAATCGAGGACGGCCGTAAGAAAGACCACTGGCTGTTGAGACATTTTCACTCCAGTTTTGAATGAAAAAAATGTCCTTATATCTCGCCCTTACGGATTACTTTGACTTTGAGTAATTGAGATTGGTATTGGTGTTCATGTTCTAGAGGCACTGCAGTCATTTTCTGTGTTTGGAGGGATAGTAGATGAGATTGTAAAGCTATCCGTGACATTTAAGTTCAAAAGGTTAAGTCTACATTTAAATATGAGACATTGTTTGGAATTCTCAGCATATCGCATTAGTAATATCATTATATTTTATTTTTTCCAGCTGGGTTCGGCGGAGTTTAAAATAGTTGTTGACTCAAGTTTGCCTTGAACGTGCAGGACGTTGCTCCCGGTCTTGATGAGCCCCGCCTTCCTTATTCAGCCTTGCCGCGAAGGAACCAGTCGCAGGAACCCGTTCACTTTCCTCGCTACACGTCACACTGGCTCGCCGCGTCCTCCCCCGTAGGCCTAAAACACTCACCCACCCACCCACCCACGAACCACGTCAAAGCCTAGCATCAGCGCCTATGCCACGTGACGCCGTTCAGGAGTGTGAAGACATTTTCTCCCTGTTGCATGATTTGATTTGTCCAAGTGAAGGATACCGGTCAGAGGATACCCTAAGTGTCTCGAGATATTACCTCAGCAAAAATAAACAAATCCCCACCGCGTACATTCTGTCAAGACGGCTTTTAGACTTCCGTGAGGGTTTATCGCCTTATAATGAACCATTCAAAGTTCGCATCTTACCAGAATATACGTGGAGGAGGATTATTGGCCTTGGCTGGAGCGCGAAGAGCTGAGGTCACGACGATCGCTTGATGACTCCTATCCTAGGCAGTTAACAAGCTGTTTTAGAGAGAAAAACGTGTGCGTGTGCGCGTGTGTACGTGTGCTGGTGAGCGCGTGTGCGTGCGTGTGTGTGTGAGCGTGTGCGTGTGCGTGTGCGTGTGCGAGCGTGTGCGTGTGCGTGTGCGTGTGCGTGTGCGAGCGTGTGCGTGTGCGTGTGCGTGTGCGTGCGCGCGCGTGTGTGTGTGTGTGTGTGTGTGTGTGTGTGTGTGTGTGTGTGTGTGTGTGTGTGTGTGTGTGTGTGTGTGTGTGTGTTCTGGTTGTGTTTTGTTTTTTTGCCACGTGGTTCAGCATAGCAGGTAAAACCTCAGAATGAAATGCATTCAATTCCTGGTGAGAGGGTTGGTTGCCACTTATTTTTTCGTATTTCCCTTCATCATGTTCATCTTTTCATTTTCTTTCATTCATTCACTTTAATCACTTGTAATTCCTGCATATGATTATTGCTTTATGAAGAAATTAATCGATAATTTGTGTGTATCGGTGACGAAGAAAATCGGCATTGGAAGGCTGTCTCCACTTGCTTCGTGATTTTACGTTATATGCGGATGTTGCTTGAAACTGGGACCAAAAAAAAAACACACGGACACGCACAAGCATACGCACACATACACACACATACACACACATACACACACATACACACACACACACATACACACACACATACACACACACACACACACGCACACACACACACACACGCACACGCACACGCACACACGCACACACACACACACACACACACACACACACACACACACACACACACACACACACACACACACACACACACACACACACACACAACACACACACACACACACACACACACACACACACACACACACACACACACAACACGCACACACACACACACACACACACACACACACACACACCACACACACACACACACACACACACACACACACACACACACACACACACACACACAACACAGATACACACACACACACACACAGATACACACACACTAATACACACACACTGACACACACTGATACGCACACACACAGATACACACACACTCTGATACACACACAGATGCACACACACAGATGCACACACACAGATGCGCACACACACAGATGCGCACACACACAGATGCGCACACACACACACAGATGCGCACACACACACACAGATGCGCACACACACACACAGATGCGCACACACACAGATGCGCACACACACACACAGATACACACACACACACAGATACACACACACACACAGATACACATACACACAGGGATACATATACACAGAGATACACACAGATACACACACACACACAGATACACACACACACACAGATACACACACACACAGATACACACACACACAGATACACACACACACAGATACACACACACACAGATACACACACACACACACAGATACACACACACACACAGATACACACACACACAGATACACACACACACAGATACACACACACACCACACACAGATACACACACACACAGATACACAAACACACAGATACACACACACACAGATACACACACACACATACACACACACAGATACACACACACACAGATACACACACACACAGATACACACACACACACAGATACACACACACACAGATATACACACACACACAGATACACACACACACACACAGGTACACACACACACAGATACACACACACACACACAGGTACACACACACACAGATACACACACACAGAGATACACACACACTCACACACACTCACATGTGCGTGCATGAATTTAAAAATGCCTTGAAGCTGGGCTCGTATAGAATGAAATGCAAGGTAGAGATGTGTGTAGCAGGAGGAACCCGTCTAGGTAGCCCCTCATGCCTGCTTTCATGCTAGCTCTCGCATAATTAACCACCCTTGCATAATCCTGTCGGCGCTTGACGTTGCACAATGCTGTGTAGCCAACCATCGTATGGTCTTCCCTGTCTAGATCTGCTTCTCACCGCACCATTCACATTATTATTTGCTTTCAATCTTTATGTGGTGCTCCTCGGACTGCAATCGTGGGATGGTCAAACAAGAGGTTTTGTGTTCCTATGTAAACATCCTATTCATTAATCTACTTTTAATGGGATTTGTGGATAATATTCTTTTGACACAAGCCTTTTTATCTAACCTAGATCACCTAAACATGGCAACTTTCACGCGATGCTTGCTTGCGCTCTCACTTGGTCTCGCGTGGACTGCATGGAAGAATCCTGGATGTCAAATGATGGTAAAATGCCCGTGGTGTTTGGTGGAGACAAATCGGTGGTTCGTGTTGATGGCAGAGATGAACAATAATCAGTGATATCCTTACATTGGTTACTCTCACAAGATTTTGTTCCGAGTGTCGTTGTAGTAATGTTTATGAGTGAGATACCACTTGGTGATTCGCTAAAACAGACGACAATTCCATTTCTGGGTACCTAATTGCCGAGGTAAGGGCACCGTACTAATCCTGTTGATTTAATTGTTTTGATTCCTAATCAGAGGTAGACATACCCTTGTTTAAAGCCGCCAGGATCTCGCTGGGACTTGGTTCTGACGTCTTCGTGTACTTTCTTTCTCGAGGTCGCGCTCGTGCGGGATCATTCCACATCTCGTTCCCGGGTGATCGATGCAGAGGGACACGTTCTTTGTGCATTTTTCATCGCCCTCATCCGATAGCGAGCAGGGAAGCAGCTTTTTCATGTCGATGTTGTAAAGATTTACCTTTGTCACGGTGAATTGTATCTTGTTAAATAGGCCAGAAGAGCTGTAGTGAGTTCTGACCAAACTCGTTTATGGGTAAATGCTAGCAAGATGCTGATTTGTAGACACGTACACTTTCTCCACGATCGTTGTGTTTCGGTCGTGTGGTTTGTTGTATTGTGGGCTGGGTATTGTATGATAAAATTGCTTATGTAATTCGATTCACAAGAAGCATCGGGTAAACATCACCCATGAAGAATAACAACACTGAGACAGTTGCAATTTCTGTAAGTTTGCTTGGGTCCGCAAGGGAGACGCACTTGCAGGGTAAGAGGACTTTAATGTGGCTATATTGTGAGGTCAGGCGTGGCACTCATGCTTTGCTTCCCGGGGACCCTCGTAGCTTTCGCCCCAACGCTTGCAATGACGGAGTGTAAACTTAACTCATAACTCGGGGATCAGAGATGCACCAAGCGCTTTACATTTCCGTGCCAGCTTTATCTAAAAAATGGTGAGTCGGAGTTCACTGTCTACCGAGTTTTCTTTCTGCAACTTTGCACCTAACAAAGCGTTATGCAAATGAAGCACATGGTGCCTCTACGCACCTAACATAGTTTGTTGCTAGTCTGTAAACTCTGAAGCGTTCCTGATTCTTTTTACTTCAACCGAAGTTTCAGAAGTGTCGAGTCGACTTGGCACGGAGGTTTTCCCTGGGCGTCCTGGCGGGAGTATCTCATCAG